GGCTGGGGGGGTCCAGCAAAGCCGCTGGACCCCCCCAGCAGACCAGGGGGACAGGAGCAAAGCCGCCACCTGGGCAGCTTTACAAGCAAAGCCACCCAGGCGGCAGCTTTGCTCAGGTGTCCCTGGTCTGCTGGGGGGGGGTCCAGCAGCTTTGCTCCCTCCCCCCAGCAGACCAGGGAGCCCCGAGCAAAGCTGCCCAGGCGGCGGGACTCCCGCCGCCTGGGCGGCTTTGCTCATGTCCCCCTGCTCTGCTGGGGGGGGCCAGCGGGTTTGCTGGACCCCCCCAGCAGACTAGGGAGACCGGGAGAAGCTTTTCTTGCCCCGGAGGACACGGGTGGCGATCCGCCGCCCATGAGCTCCGGGGCGAGAAAAGCCCCGTTCGTAAGTGCGGATCCGACATAAGTCCGATCCGCGTAAGTCGGGGACTGCCTGTACTGTGATCCATGAGAAAGTGTTATTGGTTAATGGCTAAGTAATACAATTGTTCCTACAAAAGTATTCAAACATATTCCTGCTAGAATGATGCTTCTTTAATTTGAATAGGGACAGTCAACATCAGCTATATTTTTAAAGTGACGAGTTAATTGTAGCTATCAGATAAGTTCTCCAGTTACAGAGATGTAAATCCCAAATGCTTCCATTGAAATCAGAGTTGCTCAGTATTTACACCTTTAAGAGTGAAATTTGACCTCTTTCAGCTTACCACTGGTGAATGGGCTTGTGATTTTTTCAAACATTTTCAGATTTCTCTCAATATTATCATTCTTTTTTGAACTATCAAGGTTCATTTGTTAATCTTGGGGGATTGTTTTTTCTCCCATCTGTAATGGCAAATGACTTCAGTGGACTTCTGACTGACACAAGCATAAGTGAAAGGAGAATTCAAGATTTTTTCAGTGAATTCATGAAGAGAGGCAGCCCTAATAAAATAAATAAAACTTTAAAAATCCTGAAAATGGTCCCCTGCTAATAGGTAAAATGAGGAGTATAAAAGTGTAGCTATCTGGCTATTATATCTTTTATAGATAGGCAGTCAGGAGGAATTGCTATGCAAGTCTCTGTCTTCTTTCCCTGCCTCTTTTTTTTTCTCTGTATTTGTGGAAATAGTCATTGTTTTTAAGGTTTTTTTTTTTTTTTCAGTTACAGACTAACATGGCTACGCTTCTGAAACTTTTGTGGGAATATACTTTTCAGAATAGTTGGGAGATGTTGAAATGTGGCAATTTAAAAATTATTAGTTTTGTTATTGTTATATATTATACTCTATATTCTCCCGCTCTTTCCTCATGCCCCATTGAATAACGAATGACAACACCTCCTTGCTGAAGCATCAGATCTGAAAAACAAGGTTCTGGGCCCCACCTGCTAGGTCCAGATAAGATACCCTCATTCTCCTCCCCCTCCACCCTCACAGTTTCTGGGAAAAAGGGAGGGTGTTGGAATTTCTCTCAGGTTTCTGACCCTGGAACCTGTGGAGGCACCAGTTTCTCCTATCCGGCTCTGTTGAGGACTGATAAACTTGAAACTCCACACACCCTTTGCCCCTTCAAGATTCTCTCTCTTCTACCCCCCTTGAAAGCTCCCCACTCTTGCTACACAGGCAGATCTTCATTAATTCATCCATTCAGCCTCAGTGGGAGCAGAGGTGATATCCACTGATCTACTCTGCCCTAGCAACTACGTACTTCTAATCTATTCTGCCCTAGCAACACTTTCTAATTCCCCATCTTTTTATGATTCTTCTTTGCCCGTCTCTGCTCTTGCTCAGAGCTTTGCTAAGCAGAGGAAGTATGAAATTGATATGATTCTTGACCATTTCACTGCTCTATACGAGTCTGAGTATTTTCTATAAACTGGTTGTCTTTTCATTCTGCTACTGCAGCTTTATATTCCTGATTCTGCAAGGAGCCAGCTTTAGTGTTTTTGCTGCTTTTCAAATAGCAGCGTGCTGCTACTTGCCAAAGTTTCTGTTTGAAGAGCAGCAAAGAGCTGTCTCCCTGCAGATTCAGGAAGGTTTACTGCAGTGGTTTACATTCAGTTCACATTTTGAATGAAATCCTTGCAACCATAATGATGAAAGCTTTTTTTAAAAAGTGAAAGTTTCTGTCTGAACAAATTGATGGCTCAGGTGCCACCTGCCGGGGAAGGTTTTTGCTCATCACTGAGGGTACTTCTACACTGCAGGTTAAAGTTGAGTTAAGATATGCAACTTCAGCTATGTTAATTGCATAGCTGAAGTTGAAATAGCTTAACTCGGCTTTTGGCGCTGTCTACACAGCAGGCAGTCAAAGGAAGAACACTTTTCATTCAACTTCCCTGACTCCTCGTGAAATGAGGGTTACAGAAATCAGAGTAAGAATCCCATTATTTCAAAATTATTTTGAAATAACAGGCTTGCTATGTAGACGTGCACTCTGTTATTTTGAAATAAGTGTGCAGTGTTGACATAGCTTGGGAGAGCAAATGAATTTTTTTAAGCATTACATGTTTCAGTATATAAATAAACAGATACAATATACTCATTGCTATGCTATATAGCTACAGATATACACTATATCCAGGTGGATAAAATGGTCAGCACAGATTACCCAATATACATATATCAGTAATACTGGGAGTGTCACTTTATCACACTAATCTTTGTTTTTTTCTTGTAAGAGTTCTTATTTGATGATGTAGGCATCTGGTTAATATAGGGAGGCACAGTAGTGATACTTAATAAGGCTCAGTCCTGTAAGATGCTAAGCACACCCTACATAAATAAGGTGGTCTCAGCTTTTGACAGGATTTGGGCCTTACTGACAAATGGGGCCTGGTTACCTTTACTGTGCTATTTCTTTAATTTGGAATATGTTTGTATGTGTAGTGTAAGTTATAAAGTCATTGAAGCCATTTTAGGATTAAAGAGGTTTGGGCGTCACAGTTAAAATGAAACTGTTGTGAATAAAGTAATAAGAGTGTTTGAGTTTTTCAGTGCCCCCATAACATAAGTTAATTTCAGTATCTTGTTTGAAAAGTACATGCTAAACTCTGCATTTTTAACAATTTATTTTGTTTAGTGCTAGCATTCCTTCAAAATGATATTTTTTCAGAGCACTGTGATATTCTGTAACTTCAATAGTTAAGTTTTTGTGGGAGAGAAAACCAAGCCATAGTTGCTTTGTACAAATAATCGAAGATGTAAACCCAGTACTAACCAATGGTCTTACTCTGTATAAAATAAGCCAGTTCACACACTGAATATCCTGAACTCAGCTCCTGCAAAGCACTAATCCATGTCAATAAATATAAATCTATACCCTCGTCTGGACCTTGCCCCCCAAATGCCTATATCTCTGATAGTTAAGTCCCTCATCAGTTAGGGCTTAATAGGTGAAAGCTACCACATTTAACTCCATCTAAAAACCAGCAGGGAGCCAGAGGAGATTTTGGAGCACTG